AGTTGAAGTGATTTTGCTTGTGACGGTTTTGTATCATCCAAGACCAATTTTGGTACAACTGCTGAAAAAAATCTGTAAAATTCTGTTGCCTTTTCATCCTAAGGGCTACTGCAAAAAAAAAAAAATGTTTCAGTTTGGACTCGATTGTGGTTGTAAGTTGAGGACTAACTGTACATATAAGACAGTGATTTTCCAAAAAATGGTGGGCACAATCATAGTTCCTGCTACGAGGATTCCCCCATCCGGACCTTCTGCAATTCCCCCAAAGGTCAAAGAAAACCAGATTCCATGCAGCTCTGAACCCTTAAGGCAAACCAAATACAAGTGGTCCTCGTTTAATGGCCAGTTGCTTAGCAAGTGTTCTAATTTATGACTGATCTCCTCAGAACTACTTAACCTAATTTTGGAATTTTGACAGCCATGAACACACACACACACATATTTATGACCAATTACAACATCCCACACAGTCATGTGATAGATTTTTTCTACGTTTTTTGCCAACTTCGAACAATTCCTTCTGGTTTCCAGTTAAAAATGCCCATTGGGGAAAAGTGACTTGTTTAACAACCAGTGTTCACTTAATGACCATGGTGTTTGTCTAACCCAAGGGTCTGCAACCTTAAACACTCAAAGAGCCATTTTTCCATTTTCTTTTAAATAGGTCTGTCTCTCTCTTTTTTTCCCCTCTCTCTTTCTCACCTCTCATCTTTTTTCTCCCTCCCTCTCTTTTTCTCTGTCATCTCCTCTCACTCATTTCTCCCTCCCTCATCTCTCTCTAATCTCCCCTCACTCACTTCTCCCTTACATATCTCTTCCTCTCTCTCTCTCTCTTGCATGTATGTGTTCCCTCTTGAACCATTTCCAAAAACTGACCAGGGTTGGGGTTTTTTAAAATTTTTTTGCTGATGTTGTTCGTTCTTCTTTGGGTGCTTTTTACTACATGATTTTAAATCTACAGTCATTTCAGATTCCCAGATAAATGAAGTTCTTTTGTGCCCCTACTGTGGCTCCCTGTCAGATGTTCCCACCAGTGGCTAGTCCCGCTCCTTGCCCTCCCCTCCCATTGACTTGTTGTCTGCCCTGAGGAGGGCAGTGGCATCAGATGGATATTCGCTATGTATTCAAGGTGGGAGCAAAGCACCCCTCTGCTTGCTTTTTTTCCCCAGCCCTTGTTGGTGCTATGTGTACTGGGGAGATATGTAACTTTTCTCCGTCCTGAGACTCTGGCCGGGCCAGCTGCAGCTGATGTCCATGTTGTAATGGGCTCCAGGAGGAGGAGAAAGGAGTGCTGCCTCCCCCATTTGTGAAGCGCACTAAGTTTAAAGATGCTGCACAAGGCACTGCAAGAGCAGCAAGCAGCCATGGAGGTGGTGAGACCAACGGCGTGTCTCGTCACGGAGAAAAATCACACATCTCTCCATATACCTCTCTCTGCAAGCATCGAGCAGCCTTGCACAGCACCTTTAAACTTAATGCGCTTCACAAATGGGGGAGGTGGCATATCCTCCTCCTCATTTTTGAAGCACATTACATTTAAAGGTGCTGTGGAAGGCTGCTCGATGCTTGCAGAAAGAGGAATACGGGGAGATGTGCGACTTTTCTCCATTATGAGACACTCCGTTGCTCTCACCACCCCCATGGCTGCTTGCTGCTCTTGCAGTGCTTTGTGCAGCATCTTTAAACTTAGTGCACTTCACAAATGGGGGAGGTGGCATCCCCTCCTCCTTCTTCTGGATCCCATTATGATGTGGAGTATCTGCTGCAGACGGCTCGGCCAGTGTCTCGGCACGGAAAAAAGTTGGCGGAGCAGCAGTTCGAGCTGGCTGGGTGGGAGGTGGCCATAGGCCTATGGGACCAGCTGCAGGGCAAGACCACAACCGGCAGTCCACTGCCCTTCCCAGCCCCGCTTACCCGATGGGGCACCTGGCTGTACTTACCTGCTGCTAAAGTGGCCAAGATGAGCAGGAGTCAGATCAACCGATAGGTAAAGGCAATCAGTTAGTTGAGCAGGAGGCAGACACAGGCCTATGACTTGAGGCCATGATGATCGGATGGGGGGTAGGCTCTGCTGCCTAAGTGGGAGTCGGGTGCAAGCGTATAACTTGAGGCCATGGCATTTGGATGGGGGGAGGCTGCACCACCTGGGCAGGATGTGGGTGCAGGTCTATGACTCAAGGCTGCAGCAGTCAGATGGGGAGAGGCCGCAGCTGGTGGCTGAGCAGCACAGGTTGACCACCCTTCGTAGCCCCACTTCCCCGAAGAGGTACACGGCTGTGCTTACCTGGCTGTTCTGCCCCTGGAGCAGTTGGGAGTAGGCCAAGTCAGACAACTAGGAGACAGTGACAAAGGCAGGCAAGTAGGCTCAGCTGCATAATTGAGGGGAGCAAAAGAACAGCTGCAGCTATGCCACAGTGTGACTCTAAGGCACCAGCCAAGGCGTGTGAGGCCAATAAGTAGTGGTGAGGTGGGCCGAGCCAGAATTTTTACTACCAGTTCGCCTGAACTGGCCCGTACCAGTTGAATCCCATCATTGCTTTTAGCCCAGACATTTTCTGTTCTAGCTCCTAGGTTAATGAAAACCAAAAGTTCTCTATTGGTTTTCATTAACTTAGCTGGCTGTCATCACTCAAGACAGATTCATGCATATTATTTGCCTTTTTAAAATTCTGATCCTGACTTGTAAGAGAGAATATTCTTCATAAACGTGTCAGACAAAGTACCCTACTTTTACATATTAATGTATTCCAGGGAGCTAGTCTGGAGTTAGTTAATCACATCATGTCTAGGAAATTAGTTTAATCTTGGGGGAAAGTATGATGATTTATCCAAGATAATTTCCTAGCTGAACAGAAAATCTCCATTCAAATAGATTAATATCAATTTTATGTGATCTGTTCTTCTCCACCATTGCAGGCCTTGAAAAAAATAATTTCATATCAAATACCCAGACATTTTTAACAGAGGATGAATAAAACTACTGATACAATTTTTTTTCTTAAGAACGTTGGTGTAAGCTCTGTGGGAACAATTATCTGGGAACAGTTTATCCTGTTGGACTTGATGAAGTGGACAGGGTCCTCGATGCTGTCACTGCAACCACCTACCTATTAGATCCCTTTCCTTCCTGGTTAATGAAAGCCTCCAAGAGGGAAGTTGGTAGAAAAGGTGGTTGCTTGGTCCTGGATGAAATGGATTATGTTGACCTCTTTCAGTCAGGATTCAGTCTCAGTTATGGTATGCAAATGACATTGATTGCTTTTGATGATATTTAGAGAGAGGGGGAATGGAGGTAATGCAACTATCCTTACTCTCTTACAGCCTTCAGTACCATCAATCATGATATCCTTTTATTTGGCTGGAGTTTGGGATTGGGTGGCACAATCTTGCACTGATTTGGCTTCTTTCTATGGGGCTGGTCACAATTGCTGTTGATATGGAATGAGAGAACTAGTTCATAGCTTTGTGGAATACCACAGGGCTCAGTACTCTTTCCATTCCTTTTTAACATCTACATGAAGTTGCTGTGTGCTTGGAAGTTGTAGGGGTCTGGATGGGGGACATCAAACTTCGGGTGAGCCCTGGTAATATCAAATGGTTTTGGATGCAAGCAGCTTCAAGATCTGGGACTTTCAAACATCTTTAGTTCTGGATGGGGTTGCATTGCCCCAGACATGCTGCAGTGTGGGGTTTCTCCTGGACTTATGACTCCTTCTTGAAGAGCAGGTGGCAATTGTGGCTAGGAAAGCCTTTGGACAACTTAATATATGCCTGTTGTGCCTTTTCCTGGATTAGGAGTCTCTGCACTTAGTCACTCAAGTCCTGGTTATCTCATACTTGGATTATTGCTGTGCGGTCTACATGGGGCTACCTTTGAAGAGTGTTTGTAAGCTATAGCTGATGCCATATGTGGTTGCATAGGCATTTCTAGGGACCCTAGGGTGGCTCATGTTGCACAGTTGTTCCGCAAGTTGCACTGGTTGCTGGTTTACTTCTTGGTAAAATTCAAGGTATTGGTCATCACTTTTAAAGCTCTTTATGACATGACTTCAAGCTAAAGGGATTGATCCACTCCAATTAGTACCAGGAGTATGACCATGCTATAGATTAAGGATTATACCATCGATTAAGGAATTTTGGGGCTCCTGCCTTTCGAAACATCAAACATTCCCCAAGGTGAAATCTACTTCCATTCTTCTGACCTTTCATAAGGTTATGAAGACCTGGCTGTGGCAGTTGGCCTAGGGCCCCAATAGGAGTTTATCACTCTGGAGGTAATTAACCAATTAAGGCAACACCTTGCTTCCCTGTATGCATCTTGTTCCCTTGCTCCCCATCTTTTAATTGTAATTTATAATTCATTACACAATCAGCCAGGTGTTCAGATTGGATTTGGCACTGTTATCCATCTATCAAGCCCTTCACAAGAAACTAGGTTGTTCTGAATAAGGTTGCTTTTGCAATTGGTGTGATGGTGATTTTGTCAAGGCTGATGGTGTTCAAATGATGCTCCAGTTATTTGAGAATGTACCCAAGGCACCTATTACTATAACTATTACTTTTATAAGAATGAAATAGTCAATAAGGGCTAAATGATCTATAAAACTCCACCTTACATTCTTTTTTCTCATCTCTCTCTCTCTATTCTAACCAAAAAGCCAAATTACTAGAATCCATTGATTCCATATCCTGATTTAAGGCTCTTTCACATCATCCTGCCTTCTACTTCCTAGTTCTTCAAAGAAAAGCTTGAATATTTGTGATTGCCATTCTTGCGTTGGGATTTAGTGCCAATTATTAATTACAGGTATTCATGTGCTATCATCTATTTATATTCTGTACAAAACTGATGTTAAAATTATAATCTTAATGAAGGAAGTATTCCTAATTTGAAGGGAACTTATGAATTCTAATTAGTAACATGATATTTAATAAAATATATATGTAAACGTATTAATTTACACAGATTTTTATTGTTGATAACTGGTCAACTCTGAAATTTACATATAAATATATTTGTATTTTAGGCTCTCTAAATCAATATCTCCAAAGATAAAGTTAATGCTTTTTTTAGCATGTTCTTCATTTGAGGACCCATGAACAGCATTGTGCATAATATCAGTTGCAAATTTAGCACGTATTGAATTAGGATGTGTTTCTTTTGCTTTTGTTGGATCTGTTGGTCCCATTAATTGTCGCCATTCCTCCACAGCATTTTCTTTAGTTAGAACCATGACCATTGATGGGCCTCTAGAAAAACAATACAACCAACAATGTATGAGATGCTCACAATCTCATTTTGCAATGAGAACATTAAGTTGACATAACTAACGCTGCATGAGATAAACAAGTCAAGTCCATTTGATGTACACTGTCTATTTGATTATTTCACAGTGTCAGAGGTTTATGTTATAGAAGCCAAGTCTTATTAAACATACATTATATAACAGTAGATTATTTCCTTAATAGTCCCATCTCTGCTTGTATTTGTGCTTTGTTGTATGTCAGTCTGCCTGTTCTCCGTGTATATAAAATCCTACGATATGTTATAATCATATGCTAAACTTAGAGGTGCTATTTTTGATGACTTTTCTTCCCTCATTCAGGTGAACGAAGATGCTCCATAGATTAAAAAAAAGTACTGTAGTTCTCTGTTTTTGCTCTTCAAAAGAGATATTAGATAGCATTCTTCAAAAAGTTATTGTGGCCATGACAAGACCAAAATTGTTTACATCACATCACACAATTAAATTCAGTTAATACAATTTATCTTCAGTAATGTTCTCTTTTTGTCACATAGAAATATTGCAATTCAGCAATTGGGCTTGGAAATCTCTGCACCAAAACTATTTGAAGGCAAGCAGGTAATATAAACACTACAGCTAACAAAATGTAATAACTGGGATCTGCAGAGATGCCAAAAACATGACAGAAATCTAGCAGATAATACTGTCAAAAATATCCAGTTTTTTATCATCATACAAAACTTTCATGACACTGGAACTTGGTATTTACTAGAGATAAGAAAAATAGAGAATATTCTACAGTGCAGTAGCACTTAAGGCTTATCAACCAGATTCTGTTTTTCATGATTCTAGGAAGGAAGTAGCCACAAAATTAAAAAGTGGATTGCTGGATAGGGCTGGAATCAGACATTTCTACATTGCCACATTTCCACTCTAATAAGCCAATTGAACAGTGCTGGGATAAAACTTGTAAAACATTGCCCTACCAAGCTGCCACAAGTTCAGTAAAAATAAATATCCTCTCCCCAAGAAAAAGAGTCAGACACCTGATGGTTTGCATATGGCTCCTTTCCCTATTGAAAATGTCACCAATTTCATGCTTGTTTACTTTTGCTAGGCAACTAAGTAGGCAATGCAATAATATCAAGCCTGAAATATCATTGGCAATTGTATATTATATATATATATAATATACATATATACACATATACATATAATACATATGTTGATGTATATATGTATGTTTATTATATAGGTTTGGGTAGGGAAAGAAATTGAAATAGAACATTAACAGTTTGAGGAAATAAAATTGCCATTTTTATAAACAGAAAAAAAAGAAACTGAGATGCAGGATAACACAAGAGTTTTCTTTGAGAAGAAAAGACATCTTTCCCAAGTTCCATAAAATTTTATCATTTCTGTCAGTGGTGGGATTCAAATTTTTTTACTACTGGCTCTGTGGGGGTGGCTTGGTGGGTGTGGCGGGGAAGGATATTGCAAAATCTCCACTCCCACCCCACTCCAGGGGAAGGTTACTGCAAAATCATTCCCTCCCTACCCCACTAACATGATTTCCAGCTCCTGTGCAGGGAAACAAGAAGACCCAGACAATCAGCTGGGAATTGGGAGGCAGAGAATAGATGGGTTGGGGCCAGTCAGAAGTGATATTTGCCGGTTTTCCAAACTACTCTAAATGTCCACTACTGGTTTTCCAGAACTGGTCAGAATCTGCTGAATACCACCTGATTTCTGTTACATTACAATTGAATCAAAACTCAATCTGCTCAACTATTGAAAAGATATCAACATGGGATCAAAGGCGAGTGAAATCAATCCACCTGCAAATATAGTGGTTGGAAGTACCCAAAAATTAATGACTTCACTTGATGGACACAAAATCATTATTATCAAAGAAGTTTATTGGGAGGCATTCCTGTTTCTTTCACCCTCTTCTCGTTTGTTTCTTTTTTTAAATTTAACATTGCTTTTATAGAATGTATTTACACATTGCTTCTGAGAAAGTGGGCAGGGCTTTTGCAACTGCTAGTTTAACTATGTTTTATTCAGAGTTTTGCCGCATAAATTCAGTGCCAGAAAGATAAACACAAATGCTTCATTTAATGTCTTTATAAACATATTAAGTATGTTATATCTGGGAGGACGGTTCAAGAACGGAGGCAAGACTCAGATAGTAACTAAAGCTCTTTATTTGTGACTTCAGATCTGAGCAACTAACCCCAGCCGCAGCAGCCCCTTATATAGGGCTGGCTGCGGCTAGGCAGCCAATGAAGGCGATTTGAGTTTGCCGCTCTTGGCAGGGCCAATCGCGGCAGCCCGTTTACTGGCCAATCGCATCAGTCTATGGCGACCAATCACGATTGGCTTTCAGCGGGCCAATCAGATTTGCAGGCTACGAGCCTGCTAGTCCGGAACAAAGTAAATTTTACACCAGTTGTAGATTTCTCCAACATGGAGAAAACTCAAACAGAAGCAGACATATTACAAGCAGCTCAACTTCAGCAGACAAGCAAGCAAGTTAGTTTCTCTTTCAATAGACAGACTCAGCTTAACATAGCTTCAGAGCTGCAGAGCTTAATATAGAGCCACACCTAGGCTACTTCTAGTTTCAGTTTCCAAACAGTCCTCATTGACTGACTTAGTTGCTATACTATTCATTGGCTGACCTTGTTACCATGCTCTATTCCAGTTCATGAATATACTCTGACACTCCTCCCTTCATAACTGGAATAAACATAAACTCAATTACCTTTAATATTTTTCAGATACCTGTATTTGAAGACCCACATTCATAGTTCCCTCCAAACACCTGAGAATTCCTTTTTATACCTATCCAAGGTGTTGATCCCCACCTTTTAACTTTCCAGTGTATATGCAACCATCAGCCTTGCAATTCTTGAACCCAAGACCTTTCAATGCAGTATACCTGCAGGTGGAATCCCCTTGTTCCATCGCTCTGACCTGACAGCTCCTGTGTGTCAACCCTCTCTTGCTTCATATCTTGTTCAGCTTCTCCTTCCTGAACCCTGACACCATCAGTAAGTGAGTTACCATTAGTAAGTGAGTTACCATCACTAAGTGGATCACTGTCACTAAGTGAATCATTCCAAAAATTTGCATCAATTTTATTCCAATTTTGCTCTGCAAAGCTTGCAGACCTTGAAAACACTATTCTTTTGCTCCTATCACTAAAGCGATAAGTCTTTGAGCCTGGCTCATAGCCCACAAACCTGAGCTTTCTAGCCTTTGGTTGCCCCTTTCTTCTAATTGCTTTTGGAATATGTACCCACGCATTGCTTCAAAACACCCTTAAATGTGCTAGAGATGGTTTTTGCCCATATAGCATTGCATATGGAGTATCATTAATGGAGGAACTCCACAACCTATTAACTAAATAATTAGCAGTCAATATGGCTTCACCCCAGTATGACCTGTTTAGACCAGAATCCTCTAGCAGGGAATCCTTCATGGTTTGTAAGACTCCATTCTGTATCTCAGCAACACCATTCTCAGCTGCTGTGTAAGGATTTGTGTGTCTGTATTTTATTCCTAACTGTGCCAACCATTGTTGAAAAAATGCTGATATGAATTCTGAACTTCTGTCAGTTTGCAGATGACATAACTGTCGTTTATACCTTCTTTCTACAAAGCTTACCCATTGCTTACATTTCTGTAGCACCTCTGTTTTACTCTTTAGTAAATAGAAGAACACAAAACTGCTATAGTCATCTACAATGACAGCTCATACTTAGCTCCTCCCAAACTGGCTTGCATTGGGCCCACCAAATCTGCGTGTACCAGCTCTAAAGCTCTTGTTGTTGGCTTTGTGCTACTCTTGCTTACTGGGAATGCCTTGGACTTTGATGTTTTCATACTGCACAATCCAAATATGCTTTACATCCCTTTAAATTTATATTTTCTGCAAACTGTTCCATTTTTTGAACAACTTCGAAGCTGGCATGGCCAAACTTATGGTGCAAAAGATGAACACATGAATCATGGTTTGCAACATTGCCAAATGTTTGTGCACATTGAACTTTTTGTCCCTGTAACATATAAAGATTATCATGCTTTATGCCCTTTGCACAGACAAACCCATTTTTCTTTATAAGACACTGCCCATTTACAATGTGGTCTCAAATCCTTGCTTGTCTAAACTAGAGACACTCAGCAAATTATGTTCCATTTCTGGGACACATAAAACATTATTAAACCTTGTTTCCAAATAATGGAATTTGCACACTCCTCTTGCAATGATTTTAGCCTTCTTGCCATTTGCCAAGGCTACTGTCTCCAGCAGCTGCATCCATCCTGTAATACAATTTAGCCTTATTAATAATTGTTTGGATAGCCCCACTGTCTATTAGCCATTGATTTCTTCCATTACTATTGCTGGCTTTTGGAACAGCAATTTATCCCTCAACCTGTTCTTGCAGACTTCTTCTGTCTTGCAAACATTTTTCTTTAAATGAGTAGTTTCATCACAGATGAAGCATCCTTTCTTTTGTTGGGCTTTCTGCTTAGCTGTAATCTGATATCTTCTAATGCTGCTCTGCTGGTCTGTGGAAACTGTGTGGCTCTTACCTCTGTGCTCTTCTCTGGAGACAGCCCGGCTGTGGAAATTTCCATTGTTCCTCTTGGGCCCCCTCCTCAGGAATTTCTCCTTCTCTTGGCTTTTTTTATAATGGCATTTCTGCTCTTCAGCTATCAAATGCTTTCAGAGTTTCCAAATGCAATTTATGCTCTGGTTTGCATTCAAACACTGCAGACACAATGTCCCAAGTTTCATCTAGACTGTTCAAAACTAAGAGCACTTTTGGATTTAGGTATCCCCATCCCACACTGTTCCAACTCCACAAATTTTTTTTGCATATGAACAAAATGCTGTTCCACTGAATCTCCTGGCTGCAAATGAGCTCTATATAACTTTCTTGATAACTGTAAGCTGTTGCATGTAGATACACTCTCATGAACAGTCCTCAATTT